AATTAATTCTTCAACAACTGTTCAAAAATGTTTTCAGTTGCTTGTTCGATCGCAACGAATTGATTCGTCTGATACACACGACGAATTCCTAGCGGCAAACTTCTTGTTCGTCAACCAATTTCAGTGTTCTTCTTGCCTTACGACTCAGAAATATATTGTCCGACGAGAAAGGAACTCTGGTCCATAATACGGCCAATGGGGGCACGATGCGCAACAGCATGAGAACCACTGATCTATGGAAAATCTTTCTGATTTCACGCTCCAAACGCACACACACCTTGGTGGTCTCATCAGACGTTGACGTTGGAAATTCCTCGATAGACTTTTTCTAATTATTACAGTACCTGAGATTATCTGCTTCAAGAATTTTGTTCCAAGATTGTCGCGACTGATAACGCGAAAAGGGAAGATTTGTTATGTAAATGTCATGTGAATTGAAATTGTTGATCCGTGATTATGTAAATGTTTCAGAAAGTAATAGATGGTTGTAATTTTCATAATATGGTAATTGTGTTGTATGATGATTTCTGTTTTATTGTGCGATGAATTTGCCTATGGGTTATCTATTTAAATGGAGGATTGTAATTGTATTATTATTATTGGTTGGTTGATGTGTGACAGAAGTATTGGAGTAAAGTGTTATTATCGAGTAGTAGTTGTTCTCGAATTGTTGACGATTAACTGGCTAAATAGTTGGATTGAGTTTGTCGAGTGGAATTGGCAATTAATCCAGAGTTATTGGTTGAAATGGAGAATTGAGATCATTGTTGAGTAGAACTATTGTTGGAAGTAGATCGTTGTTGGAAGAAAGGATAGAGGCTGGAGAGAATTGTCACAAAAGGATTTAAAAGAGTTGGTCGTAGTTAATGGACCAAATGGCATACACTGATTGGAGTCACTGGTCAACATTGGTTCAATCGTCGTTATCATTGGATTGATACGTCGTTGTCAAGTAGGCAAAGTAAACGATCGTAAAGCAGAAAGGAAAGTGATCTTCATTATTTTCTTTCCTTTCTTAGTAATATTGTTGTATTCTTTGGACATCCCCTTTAGAGACTCAACCCAGTCACTCCCGATCCACCATACGCCAGGAGTAACTACAAGGATTGCATTTAGGAAAGTATCATGTTGAAAAAATATCATTTTAAATTCATATTTGGTCTGTCAACATATAGAAAACAATTCGGAGATTTGTACATTCAAGGTCAGTTGATTTGCCCGAAAGATCAATGGTTGGGTGACATTACCCGGAGAGAGACACAATCAAATGAATATGTGAAAGAAACGACATCCATTCATCTGCCTATCTATTCATTATGTCATTTACTCGAGTTGATTAGGCACTATAGTTTTAAAGAACGAAAGAATGTGCCCACCAATAAGGCTTTTTCGTTGGAATCTTGATGAGATTTGCTCAAATTTATTGTTAGAAAAGTTAATCTTTCTGTGAGTTCTCTTCCTACAAAGCCTTATTATGCAAAAAAATCTAGACTGAAATTTTTATTATATTGCAAAATGTGTCTCATGTTCGAATCACGCTCACGGGGAAATTTTTTGCTCGGAAACAAATGTCATACCAATATCATTGATGTTATTGAATTTGAGCCAGGTGGTTATAGTTCAGCTTGTACCCAATTATCTATTCATGAAATTTTTTTTTGCTGACGGTAATTTTCGTTGTCTCTCTCAATCGGGTATTTTGCAGTTTTTAATTCGTATGCACAATTCAGAATGGATAAGATCGATTGGATGCGCATTACAGTTACATGCTTTTACAAACAAAACATAAAGATCGCAGATACGATTACTGATTGGAAATCGCTCAAAATATTTGCCTTTCGTTGCTTTGTGTTAAACAGTTTCTTTTTTCGAAAAATATTTAGCGTTCATTGATAGTGATGATAAGAAACGGTCGAAATGAAATCATTTGAACTTTCACAGAGACAGTTCACTTTTTCAACATCATAATTTTACGTGTTAGAATCAGAACGAAGCAAAAACATTATTTTTGAAGTAGACGGTGCCAGTCACTGTTCATCTAACGCTTCTTAACAGGAGGTTATGGGTTTCGATTTTTCAAGTTGGTTTTCCATTGAAAAAAAAAAACGATTCTTGCAATTTTGAGTTTTTTTAAAGATCGCCTAAAAAATTTCACTGTTGTAATTTGGAAAGGAAAAGTGAAAAAATCTTTCATAATATAACGTTTGGAGTCTTTTTCTTCATGATTTCTTCTCAGTTTTAAAATTCTTCATTTTCGTATTCAGTTGAAAATCTTTGCTAAGTGAATGAATGTCGGAATGTGATTTTTAACCATTTTTTTCTATTTTATGTGTTTTAAATTTCTTTTTTTTTCTTTCATAATAATTTTTTTTTAATTTTTCAAATTAATGATGAGAAACAAGTGAAGCACTGGGCAGGCTCAAAAAGGTATGTTTGTTCAACTAAACGGGAACAAGATCGTTGGGAATATGGTGTTTTGGGGTAATGGGCGGGTAACCTGCTGCAGTAACGATGACCTTCAGCTGATAAATAAGTGCATTGGTTTATCAGTCGATATTGCTATTTAATTCATTATTGTGTACGTTTCCAAAACTTTTATTCATACTTGCTTGTACATTGCTCTGTTTTAGTCCGAGAATGGTTTCATAATGATAAGTATTAGTGTTCAAGCTATTTACAGCACTATATGACCTACTGCATGAAATGGCCATCCATTTTCAATGATCACCAACAGTAGTGTACTCAAGGAGGGCGCAAGGTTCCCCCCCCCCCTCCCTCCCCCTATTCCTGTAGGTTGGAAGAAATGTGAAAACGAAAAAGGGAAAAATGAGAATGAACTGATCAAAAGAAGGATGGAAAAATGGAGAAAAGAGAGAAAAAAGAAAAATAAAAATTAATATAAAAATCCACCTCAAAATTCAGCTACAAGTTTTTGTGTACTGTAAAATTCCACCCCTTCCCCTTCCCCTTCCCCTTCCTCAAAAAAAAATCCTGGCTAAGCCAGTGCCACCAATGCAATTTCAGTTCTATCGTTTCGGTTAATGCGTGCTCTAGCAAGTCACGGCTTGATAGCTGGAATGCTTCGAGCAAAGTGGAACTTCATGAAAGCTACTGTATTGTCGCACTTAGAAGTTCATTGAAATTCACCGAGAGAGAACTTAAAAGCTAGCATTTTAAACGTATGAATTAAGATTTCGAAATTCAAATTACTATTAGAAACGTTATTTCTTCAGCTTTTAGGGGATTTTTCATGTTAATTCATCTTTTTCTTATGCGTTCTCAGATTTTTAGGTGGTTTTTGTGTTTACGCCTAACCAAGTAGGCACCATTTAATCATCAATATGTTGAGAGATTAATGTGTGCTCTTTTTTCCTTCCAGACATATTCCAGAGTATAGCAATCAAGTACAAACAAAGCTTGTTTATATGATAGTTCCTGTGCAAAAAGATGAACAACCGCTCCAGTAATTACCATTTGTTTGCTTGGCAGGTCGTCAATTCGGCACACCAATAATGATAACTGCTGGTACCATCGCCGATTGGACCCACTAGTCAATTATTTAAAAAACGATCATCGTATTTTCTCATTTAACGGACGACCTTGTAAACTAGCACGTTAATTTTGATTGGAAGATTGACTAGTGTAAAAATCAGTGACGATTTCGGCTAGGTTGTTGTTGAAATTCGAGCACGAATTGTGCCTTTTGGCATATTGCATCGTGCAATTACCAAATATATAGCAGTTCCGGGGACAGTTGGTCACAGTGCTCGTGAACTGTAATGTTGCGTTTGTATTCCATTGCTGTACCCTCGAATAAGTGTAAAATAAAATGGCAAACATTGGTTTCTCACGAACGAAACCAATGCGTGCTTGATTGAACACCGCGTGAAGAGTTTATTTCGATTAATTTGTAATTGACTGTTGTTCGTCGCGCTTTTCAATACTCTTCTTTAGGCTTATTGCTACCAACAAGATCCAATTGAGATGTTCTTAACAGGGAACTTTACTGACATCTAACAGAGAATGCCAGATTTTTTTGAAGAAATTCATTGTTTGTTTCTCTTTTTTGATCAACACTAATTTGCTGTCCTTTGTCAAAATAACTTGAAAAAGTGCATTTCAAATGCGTCTTTTCAAGTTCACAAATTATTGTTCGATTGTGATAATGAATGTGAAAAATGTTTTGTGACCTAGCATCGACTGGAGGTTTTATCTGAGAATAAGTTGATTGGTCCATCAGAATGGTAATGAATGAAGCTCGTATAGAACAGAATGCTTGCAGAAATTTTTTTGAAAAAACTGACTGCGTCATTTTGGTGATATAATGTTTTCCGTTGAACACTCAATTGAAATGTTTCATTCGTTTACAATAATGCTTATCTGTTCAATTACAGTGCATTTTTTAAACGTCATCCATCAGTTATAGCGCTTCATTTGTTTGATAACAAACGACGATTGGCCTTTGCTAATCAAGCATACTGTAAAAAACATGTTACAGTATGCTTGATTCAATCACGATTCTTTTGGGGCTATATGATTATTACCGTCTTATAGCATGAATAAAGATTCATTCTCGTTATGAATCGTCAAAAAAAAAAACAAGTAAATCGTCGTAAATCGTTCCGATAAATCAATTGGGCTCCGTTGGGATCATCAATACTTTGTTCGCACACCACTAGTTTTAGTTTTTTTGTTGTCATAAGAAAAAATGGCTTGCTTTACGATTACAATTCTATGTTTATTTAGTCATGTTCAAAACATTGGTAATAGTTCAGCTGGAATATGTGATTTCTAATGTGACCGGGGTGAAAGAGCCATTAATCCTCATTGCTTTAGTTGAGCAAGTGCACAAATATTTGTTGGACACAGTAAAAAAATCATCCATAATCTGAGAAGTTCCATCTACGAAAAAGATGCTATCTGTATTTGTTTTTCCGAGAAGGTAACATTTTTTCAGTTGAACGCAGTGACTGAAGCATAGAATTACTGTCTGAAATAATATGGCTGAAAAGAACGAAAGTGGCCGACTCGTGCCAGCAACGTTATTGCTTGAATGTGACGAGGGTGAAAGAGCATTTCACGGGCAGATGTTCGGTCATTTTGGAAATGTCAGCGGTGAAATAGGTTCGTTGTTTATCCTTTCATTTATTTTTACCAGATAGTTTTGCTTTCATCATTGTTGTTAATTCAGTTCTTCACTTTTTTTATCTAAAACTTTTGTAATCGCTCACCATTCAATTGAAATCACAATCGAACGAATGAGTTATCACCAAGCACGAATAGTAAATGAATTGATGAACTGAAGTGTTCCAAACTGGAATGGTTGGCTATGTGGAATCACTGACGGATCCTTCGTATGCATCACAGTTACTGGTACTTACATATCCATTAATTGGTAATTATGGTGTTCCCAACGAAGAGTTCGATGAGTATGGCCTGTCTCGTCATTTCGAATCCACTAGCATTCAGCCGGCTGCACTTATCGTCAATCGGTTTGCATCTATCCAAAAATTTCATTTTTACTCATTGCAGAACCTGTTACTCTTTATTCTTAACACTCAGCTCGCATCTTCAATCTTACTCTGATCTTACGCCCTTGAACTTGGATATTTGTGAATTTAACAATAACCTTACTCAAGATTTTAGGGTTTGTCCGTATGGTAGTGAAAGTCATTGGCAGTCAAAGCGTTCTATACACGACTTTCTGAAGGCATCAAAAGTACCTGGTTTTACTGGTGTTGACACACGCATGCTGACGAAAATTATTCGAGAGAAAGGCACAATGCGTGCTAGGGTGAGTGATAATTTAGTAGGTTTATACACTATTTCTTCCAAGGATCTTCATTCATACGTATATTGTTCCTCAGCAGTATTTTAGTGCTGCATTATAGTGTTGTTTTGTATGGATTTTTATCATTCCTTGAGATGCGAAAGCAGATTAACTGAACATTTGAAGTTAAAAAATGGTGAATGCATTCGATTTTTGAAAATTGCAGTTGATCTATGAAGGGTCTAAAGAACCGATACCACCTTATATTGATATAAACGCCGAAAATTTGGTAGCGAAAGTTTCCGTACAGGTAATTGTTGTGAATATCTTTTTTTTTCTGTTGTATTCGATGAGGAACACTTTGAAACTTCATGAGTGGTTGACCACCTATAATTGAATATTTTTCATAAACATATTTTATTGCGGATTTTGGCTTACCATAATCGATTTCACTGTAGAAACCACAAACGTTCGGAAATGGTTCAATTCGTATACTGGCTGTTGACTGCGGTATGAAAAATAATCAATTACGAATTCTTCTGAAACATAATGTTACCGTCACTGTGGTACCATGGAATTATGCATTTCATAAGGAAGATGGTTTGTTCACTTGTTTGTTTGTTTGTTTGTTCATTATAATCGATTTTCTAATACTACTCTTATCACTAAGGTTATGATGGTCTTTTTCTGTCAAGTGGCCCTGGCGATCCAGCGATGTGCGCTGAAACGGAACAATACCTACGAGCGTTCATGGCAAAGCCTGACGTGAAACCGATATTTGGCATTTGTCTTGGTCATCAAATTCTGTCACGTGCCTTTGGTGGTAAAACCTATAAATTGAAGTGTGTTTTAAAATTATTGCTATTGTGGTGTGTTTTTTAATCAACGAATGTGTTTGAGGTATGGTAATCGTGGTCACAATCAACCGTGTATTCATTTGGGTACGGGTCGTTGCGTTATAACGGCACAAAATCATGGGTATGCCGTCGATAATGACGCACTTGGTGATCAGCTTGAAGCTTTATTCGTGAATGCTAATGACCACACCAATGAAGGTTTATTCCATCGTAATCTACCGTATTTCAGGTATTATTCTAACGAACAATTTTTTAGAAATCGTTCGCTCATTTAATACCCCAGACAAAACTTTGACCCAACAATTATATTTTCTCCTTACCGAAACTTGATTGAGTCAGTGGATCACTGTATTTATTGATGGTAAATCGCAGCTGGCACACCTCCCTATATGAATATTTCTTCATAAAAATTTCTTCTTTTTTTTTCTTCATAAAATATTTCTTCATAAAAATGAAATCGATATCATTCAAATCGCTCTTTAATACGTACCTAATTTTTGGCTTAATAATTTGTAATATGGCAATCCAATGGTACCTAATGGTTGAATGTCCTTTTGCGCATTGATCATTATTTCAGTGTGCAATTCCATCCTGAACATTCGCCTGGTCCTACGGACACAGAATTTTTGTTTGAAATCTTTGTAAATTTGGTGGAAAATTGGAAGAATGGGAAGCGGGTAATGCCAAAAGAGATGATCGAAGAGCGATTTACATATACCAGTAAAAGAGAATCGAAAACGCAGAAAAAGGTGCTTGTACTAGGTTCGGGTGGTCTTACCATTGGACAAGCTGGTGAATTTGATTACTCGGGTGCACAGGTTTGTTTGTTGCAATAAGAGATTATTAAACTTTAAATGTTCCATTGCCTTCATCTACTCATTGATTGATTGCTTTATTTGTCATTAATAGTATTCAGATTAGTGTCAGCGAACTGTTTGTGATGTAATCATAATTAAGGCGTTGAAAGCGCTGAAGGAGAAAGGCGTCGAGACGGTTCTGGTGAATCCAAATGTAGCAACAGTACAAACATCAAAAGGATTCGCTAACAAGACATGTTTTGTACCAGTCAATAAGCACTACGTTACACAGGTTGGTGAATAATTAATTGATGGTGTGGGCACAATTATTTTTTATAATTTTTGTAAACACAATTATTTATATAATCGATTGAGTGCAACATATAAAAGAGTTCGGGAAGGCTATCCTTATGGATTATGCTAAAATTTGTGAGCCTTATTTGTGTGATATATTCGTTTTGTTATCGCTGTTTGTAGATTAGCTGTATGAAATGAATCAATAAATACGTTAATATGTTCATTTCAAAATATTAAATGGTTATTATTTATTAAGACATTTAATGAATAATCGGTTGCTATTCATAATCAAGATGATGATAAATGATGGTTGTAATTAATATTAAAGGTTATTAAAAAGATGCGTCCATCTGGCATTTTGTGTACGTTTGGTGGACAAACAGCGTTGAATTGTGCTGTAGATTTGTATAAAAGTGGAATATTGAAGCAGTACGGTGTAGATGTTCTTGGAACACCTATTGAAGTAATTAATTCTTTTACAATAATTACGATTACATGTATAATTTAGTAATGTAATAAATGAACACGATTATTTGATCAGTTTTTAAGACGATAATGAAAACTGAGGATCGTGCACTGTTCAAAGAGCACGTTGAAAGTCTTGGTGAACGAGTGGCGCCGTCTGAAGTGGCTTCATCGCTGCAAGAGGCAGTTGCTGTCGCTGAAAAAGTTGGCTTTATTGGCTTGTTATTGTTATCACTATTATCTTCGTTATAATTAGTATCATTTGGCAGCTCAGTGAAAGTAATGGAGATTCAATGGGAGTAATGGCTTTCAGCTTGGTTATCCAGTACTGGTGCGTGCGAGTTATGCATTAGGAGGATTGGGATCTGGATTCGCAAACGATCGTAATGAATTGCTTGAAATCGCACAGAAGGCGTTTGCTTGTAGCAGTCAAGTGTTCGTGGATCGTAGTTTGAAAGGATGGAAAGAACTGGAATATGAAGTTGTGAGAGATGCGTATGATAACTGTATTACTGTATGTTTATTTTTATTTCATTATGCTTATTGAAATGAATTCATTCGTCTACGTTCATTCCTATTTTACAGTTGGTAATCGGTGGTTCATAATCGATATACAGTTGTCTGGGCTAGGTTTTGCTTTTGTTTGAAGGTTTGTAATATGGAAAACGTTGATCCGGTTGGAATTCATACTGGTGAAAGTATTGTTATTGCACCAAGTCAAACGTTGAACGATGATGAGTATCAGAAATTACGATCAGTTGCTATTAAAGTGGCACGTAGTTTCGGGATTGTTGGTGAATGCAACATTCAGTATGCTGTCAATCCGAGTACTTTTGAGGTTTTACGTTGGTTTCATTCTTCGTTGATTGTTTATGTTTGCAGTTATTATTATTTTTTACGCAGCAAATGTTTTAACCATCAAGCTTTTAATCCATGGAGAATTTTCGTCTGAAATTGATAAATACCGCTCAAATTAGAGACAAAATTGGTCTGTTACCATATATCATTATCATCATAAAATTTTATGCTTTAAATAACAGAATAAGGATAGCAGTTGAAGAGCACAGTGATATGTGAGATGTGATATCGATGAATAAATATTTCAGTACTACATAATCGAGATGAATGCACGTTTGTCGCGTAGTTCAGCGTTGGCAAGTAAGGCGACCGGTTATCCATTAGCTTATGTAGCTGCTAAACTGGCACTCGGCGAGCAATTACCCACTATCAAGAATACAGTCACTGGTGAAACAACGGCGTGCTTTGAACCATCTCTAGATTATTGTGTTGTCAAGGTCCCGAGGTGGGATCTGTGCAAATTTGCGCGTGTTAGCAATAAGGTTATCATTTATTATTATTATGAAATCATTACTTTTGGTGATAATACCGTTACAATTAAAATTCCAACTATCATCTAATTTTGAATCATATCTAGCACCAAGTCAATCGTCATCAAAATTACCGTTCACATCTATGTCAGTATATGAATATTTGAAATATAAGTAAGGCAATATTAATGCATGTACATTTTTACATTCACATTTATGTTTATAAAGAATAAAAATTCAGATTGGGTCCGTGATGAAATCTGTTGGCGAGGCAATGGGAATTGGCCGTTCATTTGAAGAGGCCTTTCAAAAAGCACTTCGTATGGCTAATGAAGGCACTGTTGGCTTTTATCCGAGCACTTTTTCGAAAATACCCGAGCTTGAAGTAAGTGTTTTCGAGAGCATCACATTTCAATTAACATAGAGGAGATTCGATTGTTTGACGACCTATCGATCGCAACAGAACGGATTAACAGAGTTCTTATAAAGGATTTCACGCGGCCCACCGATAAAAGAATATTTGCGATTGCACGTGGATTGTACGAGGGTTTGTGTGATGCAAATTATGCGTTCGGTAAAGCAAGCACAATTCAACAACTCACTGGCATCGATCTGTGGTTTCTGAGGCATATGGAAACAATCATTGAAACTCATCACAAAATGGAGAAATACACCGTAAACACTCCACTTTATATTATCTCTTCCTGAAAGTCAACAGTTAATCTAGTGTTTGATAATATGAATATCTTCGTTGTACAGCTGAAAATGCTTCGTTCTTTCGATTTTCATATTAGCTTTAAACATAATGTCATTTCAAGTAACTTGTTTTCAATCGATGTGCGATTGAAGAACTCGCTTTTGCGTGCTTTTAATTGTCATCATTCGAGAGTGATAAAAATCTCGTATTTTGCTCTCTTTTTTTTAAAGCAATGAAGTAAGCTCCAGAAAACCATTTAGTGACTGCAACAGAATTCAGCCCATCAATGTCTAAAATGTGCTTCGCATAATTTCAAACTGAAGTAATGAAATATTGAATCCCGAATAGTAATTTATTTTTCATTTTTCCAGTGTCCTGAATTGCCGGATGATCTTCTCTATCAGGCCAAGCAGTACGGTTTCTCGGATCGCCAAATTTCACGTATCATTAAAAAGTGATTACGTTTATCAACAATATTTACAGTATACCTGTAATTTTCAAGCACCTTCCAATAACGAAACGAAAAACAATGTCAGCGCGAAATCTGCAAATCGCATTTCATTTCCTCTCCAATAGATTTGATTTGTCATATTCGCATCACTCCGAAATTTGACCAATATTGAACAGCGAATAATTTCACTTCGTTTTTAGTGAGAAAGTGGAATTGAACATACGCCGTAAGCGCAAACAACTGAAAATGTTGCCTTGCATCAAACAAATCGATACTGTTGCAGCCGAATGGCCTGCAGCTACCAACTATCTTTACTTGACCTATAACGGTTGTTCGGATGATGTGTCGTTCGAAAACGTTTGTTTCAATATAAATTAGTTGTTATGACAATTTAGAACTGTATTTATGCAGACTTTACAAGAAATGCTCTTAGAAAGATGGCGTTATCGTGCTCGGTAGTGGTGTGTATCGTATTGGCTCATCAGTGGAATTCGATGCTTGTTGTGTGGGATGTGTTAATGAATTGAAAACACTTGGATATAAATCGATTATGATCAACTGCAATCCAGAAACTGTCAGCACAGATTATGACACTTGTGATCGACTTTATTTCGAAGAAATTTCTGTTGAGGTTCGTTCATCGATCCGTTTACTCATATATGCTTGTTATTGAAGCAGTCGCTGTAGTGTGTTGTTTTACTGAATTATTTTCACAGGTGGTATGTGATGTATATGAGTGTGAACATCCGAAAGGTGTTGTTCTTGCATTTGGTGGTCAAGCGCCGAACAACATAGCGACAAGTTTACTTGAACTTTGCCAGGACCTGAAAATATTCGGCACGTCACCGGATGATATTGACGTCGCTGAAAATCGCTTCAAATTCAGTCGTCATCTTGATGAACTTAAGGTTCTTTCTTTTGGTTGTTACGTTTGTAAATTCCAAATTTTATTTCAATCTGAATCAATTAGCAATGTGATCAGTTGTGATGTCTGACATATAACGTTTTTCTTGGCCCAGTACTTTCAGACTATCAAATATTGTATTCAGTTTGTTCCAATATTCCATTGAATAATTAAAGATGCAAATTGATGTGCTCATGCAATGAGTATTTTAATTTATATTTGTCTTTGAGTTTGATCTGAAATTGAAGTTAATCTAGATCTTACAACCACAATGGACTAGAACTGACAGTGTAGAAGAGGCTGAAGAATTCTGTAACGAAGTTGGTTATCCATGCCTTATTCGACCTTCATACGTGCTGTCCGGTGCTGCAATGAATGTTGCTCATAATGTGGTTTGTTTTTTGAAATATTAGTTTCATTCTTTCAGTTCACAATGATATAACTTTTGATTTTGATTAAGGTTGGAAATCTGTATCAACTGCTTTTCTGATTTAAAATTGATTTGTTATTAATGCATGTGATTGTATTTAATGATATTTTCCGTGAAGTTCATTCATTGTTCATAATTACTACTATAATTCACGGTCATTAGTTTATCGTTTGTGTATCTCATTTCCTAAAAGCAACATTTCATTGAACTTGAGGATGATTTACGGACGTTCCTATCGCATGCAACTGTTGTAGCGAAGGATAATCCAGTGGTTGTCTCGAAGTTCATTAAGGAAGCAAAAGAAATCGACGTCGACGGAGTGGCTTTCGAAGGAAAAGTCAGCCACTGAATTCAACTATTTTTAACCTTATCTTTCTCATCCACTCCATTCGTTTTATCCTTCCCTTCATGAATTCATCTAAAGTGTTGATATCACTTAAGTGCACTGTGAAGTAAATTTTGATAAGATTTCAGTGCGTCTTCAAATTAATTTCTCGTATTGATTTCATTCCTTCCATTTTTAGTTATTAGCTTTGGCCATTTGTGAACATATTGAAAATGCTGGTATTCATTCGGGCGATGCTACGTTATTAACTCCTCCGCAAGATATCAACAAAATAACATTGGAGAAAATATATGTATGAGTTTTTATTTCTTTATATCTCTTATTAGTGAATTTCTCATAATAGCATTCTTTTTACATCCATTTATTACGTTTATCGCTGGCGAAAGCTGTAAATGTTTGTTTTTTGTTTCTGAGATTATTGAGAAATATTTTATCTATTTTATTTGAATTTTTCGAAGCTGATAGTATAATTTGCTCAGTGATTTCGAAAAATCGAACTCTAATGTTTCTTTTATGTAACTGTATTTTTTAAAGACAATTGCTCGTCAACTATCAAAAGCATTAAACGTCAATGGACCATTCAATATTCAGTTGATCGCAAAAGATAACGAACTAAAGGTACGGAATGGTTTATGGTAATCGCATATCAACTTGATTCTTTTGATTATCTATTCGGATTTCCGGATAAAATTTGGTTGCGTTATATACGTGTCAGATGTGGCAATCGCCAGTTGTTTTGAATTTGAATGAATGATGAAATGTTTTCTGTTCACTTTGTTGAACAGAAGCATGTTCAAAGTTTTAATATCACTGTTTGCTTAAGCAATATTAATGAACGATTGCTATTGTTCTATGTATTGTTGTAATGAGAAGAACAGAATTTCTAGGTAATCGAATGCAACTTACGTGCATCACGTTCATTACCGTTTGTCACGAAGGCTTTAGACTTTGACTTTGTCGCTTTAGCAACACGCTGTCTGATGGCAAACGATAAACGTAGTTTGTATAATGTTTTGAAGCCAGTTGATGTGGTCAGTGGTGTTGGTCGTGTTGGTGTTAAGGTTCGTTCGGTAGCTGTCTCAGTTTGATTCTCTGCAACAACTTTCTCTCTAATTTGACTCGAGGCAATGCACGACTTTGCGATTATTCTGCCACTGTTGATCAGCGAGAACTCAGTACAATCAGATTAATTTCATGATTTAAAAATGTGCATTTTTCGCTTCTTATTCGCCATTCTCCAAATTGTAACGACTGACCATGTTCGTCTTTCGTATATTAGCAGTGAATGATCAAACACTACTTTTTTCATATTCTACTTTATCAACTTATAAATTTATACGGCTGCAGTGAATCTGTCTGATACATTTGTAGTATAAATTTTCAGGTTCCACAATTTTCATTTGCTCGTCTAGAGGGAGCAGATGCAATGCTTGGTGTTGAAATGGTTTCAACTGGTGAAGTGGGATGTTTTGGTAAGAATCACTATGAGGCATACCTAAAGGGACTTCTCTCAACTGGTTTCGTGATGCCCAAAGCAAAAATTTTCCTCTCGATTGGTGGATATCACGTAAGAAATTAGTTTTGCGACTTGTCCTCATCTCTCGACGAACTGTTCGATTATTTTCAGCCAATAATTCTTGAAGCAACTACGGAAACAATTAGTGTTCATTTGCTGTTAAAATTTTGCTTCTCACAAATAAATGAATAAAAATTGTTTGAAAAATGCAACAATTGAAGGCAAAAGCAGAGATGCTTAACAGTGTGCGAATGTTACATGAAATGGATTTCGAGCTGCTGGCGAGTCGCGGTACGGCCGACTATTTCATGTCAAATGATATACCTGTATGTCTTTCTCATTTACACTAGTTCGTTGCTTTTTGCTGTATCTAAACACGTGTTTCCATCTCAAGTTTTTGGTTTGGATATCATTATGCATAAAGCAATTTTCAAGGTGAAAACATTGGAGTGGCCGTTTGAAGAGGAGACGTTCGAAGCGAACGAAAAGACGGCTGCATTTTCCGAGTCCATAGCCGATTTGTTTACAACGAAGGATGTCGACCTGATGATCAATTTACCGATTCGAGCATCTGGCGCTTATCGTGTATCAGCATATCGAACGCATGGATATCGGTAATTGTTTGTGTCATTTCCTAGCCATTCTCTTTGTGTAAGCCAATCATGTGCCCACTTCTAATTATTCCATTTTCGATTTAGTAACATGAATAGAATGTAGCAAGAAAATATGCGTTATAGAATGAATCTTACAGCGCGCGTCGTATGGCAATCGACAACGGTATTCCACTGATAACAGATATCAAATGCGCAAAGTTATTCATCAAGGTAATTTATCGTTCGCTTCTCCACTACGATATTACTAAATCTCGGTAATTTATTAGGCATTACGCTTTGTTGGACCAAATCCTCCGTTGAATTCTCAAATCGATTGTCTATCATCAGTAGCATTATATCGCCTGCCCGGTCTTATTGATATCCATGTTCACACACGTGACCCAGGACACGTACATAAAGAAACGTGGGAAACGGTGACTCGTGCCGCTTTAGCTGGTGGAATCACGATGGTTCTTGCTATGCCGAATACGAATCCTTCACTGACTGATAAGGAAACATTCGACCTTATTGAGAAGGTTTAATTACTCTCACTTCAATTTATGTTTAATTCTCGTTTATATATCATAGTAACTTCGAAGTAGTTCACATAGCAATCAGTCAGTTCATCATCGTAGAAGTATACATATTGATCTATAGAAGTGATAGTTTCATTTGATTTTCAGTACGGTTTTGCATGTTTTAGTCTCATCTTTACAAGGTTTTTCCCCCATATAAATATATTTATAACTGTCATATTGTAAAAGATGAAACTCAGCCATTCTCATTTGAAGATAGCATCAAGTAAATCGCTTATTGATTATGCATTGTTTGCTGGTGGAACATCAACGAATAGTGACGAATTAATTCAGTTGGCACCATCGTGTGCTGGCTTGAAACTTTATTTGGATGAGACATTCAGCAAATTACAAATGCCTTCAATCGCAGACTGGAAACAAGTTAGTTGCTTACCTTTTGTATTGAGTGCATGACGCTTTTCTTCATCATAAGCAATACTTTCGATGGTTGATAGTACTCGATTATATGAATACAAAATGCATCGTTCTGATCTAGTATCAATCGGGTATTGGCTCAACTGGCAGCTTGTCTTCATCACATGAAACAATTCGATTTTCTTTTTTCTTCAGCATTTCGATAAATTTCCTAAAAATCGCCCAATCGTCTGTCATGCCGAACAGCGATCGTTGATGGCCGTTTTAGCATTTGCTAAGCTGACTGCTCGACCTGGTTGGCGTTATCATTCTTAATGTCATCATTATTGCGACAGTAGCGTTCATTGTGATATTTTCT